TTTCCCAGCCCTCTTTTTACCCCAAAAAGGTAGGAAATACAGATGAATTTGTTTTTAGTTTAGGTCATAGGGAGATGAACAACTGCAAAACACACCTACGAGGCTTCTGCTTTCCTAGTAATGTTGATTCAAAAGGGTTAGCAGGGCTTCAGTAATCTTCAAATGAGCAGATACTCCTTGATCTGCTGCACAGTGACTGCACAGTATGTGGTGAGCTACAGACAAAAGGCAGAGTTTTATTACATTAACTAGTACCTATCCTCTTCATTACTGTGATCTTAAGCAGCATTTAATGTTCTCTCTAAAGATGTAAACCTCCTTATTCAGTGCCCCTTAAAAAAAACAAAAACAAACAGAAACAAAAACAAAACACCACCAACAAAAAAAAAATACCCCCAAAACTGAGTTTCTGTGGAGAGACTTTGCTATCCAATTATTGCTGGTTTTGGAAAGTACACCACTTAGTGCTTTTGGAGAGGCTATGGGTGGACAAAAAATTTAAACTTATCCTAGAAGGGGTGCTGCGGTCAAGACTTCAAAAAGTAAGAACTGGACAACTGGCAAGACCCTTGAAAATACATAAAATTTCTGTTTTGTCATTTTATAATTTTAAAATGAAGCTCTACAAAGACAACATGTGCGTGACTACATGGGTTTTGTTGTCACATGTGCTCTCAGATGATGATCGAATTTTTGTTACAAAGCAATTATGAGTGCAATTCTCCTTACTTAGCAAGGGGACAAATGTAATACAGTAAAAAGTCCAGCTGAAGCTAAACCTTCTGTCCATTGATTACAGCTAACACATGTAATGCTAACGATGCCATTCCACTTACTGTTGATTATATTTAGACAGCAAAAAGTGCGTAGTGCAAATGACAGTGTTGTTTCCTAGTCCTCCAAGAATATGAGAGTGGGAGGGGTGGCACTTGGAAGAGTAATTTATCAGCTTCAACATACCCAAACCATGGTCTCATTCTTCTTGGCATAGTTTATGTTCTGTTCAAACTTAAGCTCCAGCAGTTTTCTGTCTGTCACTGAGTA